TGCCTAGGCCCCTGGCAGGGTTCCTCTCATATTTCTTGGCATGCAGCAGATCACTTCCAATGAAGCTTATAATTTGCAGTAGGCATCTTATTTATTGGTTAAAATCTTTCTCATGATGTGCCACGTTTTCTTCTAGACTAAAGTGGAAATGATTTTTATAAAAAATTTTATATTATCTTACTTATATGGCTATAAGCTGCGTGATAAGTATACCCCCAAAAATTTTTTATCATATTCATGTTGTATTTATAATGTTTGTTTATCACATGACTATATACTTGTTGCATTTGTTTTATACAAGAAAATTCAATCTATCTGCTATATTATATTTATTTAAGCATTAAAATAATTTCTAATTCTAATACATTTAAATTTTTTGTTGGTTATAAAAAATTTTTAATTCTTTTTTTCAATGATCTATTTATTATATTAAATTTTTTAGATCGCTTAAAATAAATACTGTGCAAAAAAAGCCTATTTTGTGGTAAATTTGTCCAGTAAATTACTTACATAATTCTCTTTACTATTTTTTTTATATTAAATAAAATCTTGCTTGCATTTTTCTAACTTACAAAAATTGATCTTTAGCTAAGCTGCATTGGTGAAAATATTATCATTATGGTGATACTGCAGTGATGATGTTGTTTATATATTTAGTAATTCTTAAAATCAATTTGCCTTAATAGAAATAAGGATTTCTCTTCAATCTTTTTTTGCCCACATGTTATAGATCATTTTCAATAAAGTTTAAGATTAGATGTTAAATATCTTATTTATTGGATCCAACTTTATTCATGATCCACTACATTTTTTTTATTAAACATACTAAAAATAGTAAACTTTAAGTTCATTAATTAAATCTTGTAATATTTATATAACAATTTCTTTTTATAGCCTATCTTGAATATGCATCAGTTATTATTAAGTAATTAGCTACAGTGATTAGCACCATTTAAATTCTATCAGATAGACCTTTGTTTACTTATTGTATATATGTATGTATATTTGTAGAATCTTTTTAAATAAACCTTTTTGCCTAGTATTTCATCAATTGTTCTGTGCTTTATAGATTTCTGTATTTTTCTGATTTGTAAACTGTAGATATACTAAATTGTAAATAAAGTATACATGGACAATATTATATAGGATTTAACAGGAAAGTGTTATCATTATTCTTTTTTTAAAAAAAAATAAGGTATGGCTTAGAGTAGATTATATAATAGCTTCTTTTGTTTTAAATTTTTTTTTTAAACTATGCAATATACTTAACCATATTCAGTAAGTATGAAAATTGTTATTGTTAGTTTCTATTTAGTTGAATTTTGATTAATTTATGCTATTGCAGCTACATAGTCTAACTATTACATGAGGTCTTTATGCTACTATCATAGTTGCAGTACTTAATCACCAAAAATAAAGTTCTTGCACTGCTTGTAATAGCTATAGAACCTAAATACAACATGAGTTCTTGCATTGCTATCACAGCTACAGAGCCTAATCACATTATAAGGTTCATGCACTGCTATCATAGTTGCGGATATTAATTACTAACAAGAGGCTTTTGCATTGTCTGTAGCAGCTATAAGCCTAATTATAATATGAGGTTCTTGTATACTATCATATTCACAGAGTTTAATCACAACATAAGATCCTTGCACTTCTAATCACAATGTAAAGTTCTTGTATTGCTATCACAGTCATGGAGTCTAATTATGACATAAAGTTCTTATACTTCTACCATACTAAATCACCAAAAATGAGGTTCTTCACTGCCTGTAGCAGCCGTAGAGCCTAATTATATAAGGTTCTTGCACTGCTATCACATCTACAGAGTCTAGCACAATGTGAGATCCTAGCACTGCTATCATAGTTACAGAACTTAATCAGCAAATATGAGGTTCTTGAACAGTGGTTCTTGTATTGCTATTACAATCATGGAGCTTAATTACAATATGAGGTTCTTGCACTGCTATTACAGTTATAGTGCTTATTCACTAAATATGATGTTTTTGCACTGCCTGTAGCAACTATAGAGACTAATCACAATGTAAGGTTTTTGTATTGCTATTGCAACCATGGAGCCTAATTGCAATGTGAAATATTTGCACTACTACATAGTTATGGTCCTTGCACAGCCTGTAGTAGCAATAGAGCCTAATTACAACATGGGTCTTTGCATTGCTATAGAAGCCACAGAGCCTAATCACAACATAAAGTCCTTGTACTACTATTTTAGTTGCAGTACTTAATCACCAAATATAAGGTTCTTTACTACCCATGGTAACTATTAGAGTTGGGTTTAGTTATAGATGGCTACAATTATTCAAGTCAATTTCTAAATACTGAGATTATTTTTTCTTTTTGAAGTTGTTAAGAATTAAATTCTGTCTGTCCCATTTTATAAGTAGAAAGAATAATACTTTTTCTGGAACTTGGAATTACAAAATAGGTAGAAACATTGTAAATTAAAGAACCTAGTGATATCTTCATAATAATCACATCACATGATTAAGTGTTCAGTCTACATTAGGGTTAGTTAGGGTTAGTGTAAGGGTTAGTATTAGAGTTAGGTGATAAGTTAGTTTAGGCTAATTTGTTTAGTGCTAGTAAACAAATAATGTAACTGTATGATTTTACATGATATGATAATCATTGGGTTTCTTGTTCTACAAGTGTCCCAAATTTGTTACCCTTATAACTAGCTATTAGCTGCCGGTTATTAATTGGTTATGATGTTAATAAAATTTAAAATCTTAGTTCCAGAGAAGTTTTGTTCTTTCCACTTATAAGATGGGAAGAACAGAATTTAATTCTGAACACACAGGTCGAAAAATAAAAAATCAGGCACAAATCAGGTACCCGATTTTAAACTAATTACTACCTGATTACCACCTGATTTATGCATATTTTTGTACCAAAAATTTGGTACAAAAATATGCATAAATCAGGTAGTAATCAGGTAGTAATCAGTTTAAAATCGGGTACCTGATTTGTGCCTGATTTTTTATCTTTCGACCTGTGACAACTTTAATTAAAAGCTCATAAAGAAAAAAATCATTAGAAAATTGACTATAATTAATTGTAGCGTTTGCAACCAAACCCATCTCTAGCAGCCATAGAGCCTAATCATGACATTAGATCCTTACATTGCTACCGCAGCCACGGAGCCTAATGGTTGTTGATCTTATAAAAAAAAAGTCAAAATTCTATTCAGATTTTGTTTAGATTATTATTTCAAATAATGAACATTTTTCATAATAAAAATTTGAACAAAATCTGAATAGAATTTTGATTTTTTTTTTATAAGAGAGCTCAATCATCAAACATGATGTTCTTGCATTACCTGCAGCAGCCATAGTGCCTTATCGCAACATGAGATCCTTGTATTGCTATCGTAACTATGGAGCCTAATCACAATATGAAGTCCTTGCTGTATAATATAATATCAGATATAGTACACTCAACTCTAACTCTCTTTAAACAAATCAAGCGCCTAGTTTCTATGTAAATTTTACTGCCTCTTGTAATTATTTATCTGCTTTTACTACCTTTCTTTAAATACTATGAGGTTTTAGAATTGATTGGTATGGTGGTAACTGTTAAGGGTGTAAAAACATTGATATTGACCTATTCGAACCATTGTTATTAACCCACTAAAAAACAGTACATCGTTATTGTCTATTTAAGAAAAAATAAAATAAAAAACTCTTTGTCGCAGTGAACATAATATTGTCGTATAATATCACATGTCATATGAGTCTTTCGATTAATACTTCAAAGAGCAGATTAAAACTTATTTATTTTACAAGTCATTTGTTTATTTCGTCTTGTTTTTATTTTTATTTTTTTTTGCATTGAACCATGTAAACAACTTTTCCATCTTCGACCGGCATTATTAGGGGGTTTCAGCATTAACTTTTTTTCAAAATAAGTGAGAGTTTAAAAGGACCTATTTTATTTTTAGAATTCCGAATTAAAAAATTAAATAGACATAGTCAGTGATAAAATTGACTTTTTTTTGATAAACATTCATCAGTAAATGATTATGTAAATAAGTACATACTTTAAAAAAAATAGAATTTGTATGTCGTGGTCGACTTTGGTGCCCTGGATATTCATAGCGCAAGGTTAGGGATCATGATCGGGTCATGATCCCGATTTGCATGAATGGTGTGATTCGGGATATGCATGGAAATTACAGTCGTACCTGAGTTATATCCTTCTTTTTTCCAGAGCATTTTTGGTGATATAACTAAGGTTGGGATATAACTCGATATATAAACTATATAAAAAAGGGAAATTTATTCTACTAAAAAATGGGAATATAACTTAGGTTGGGATATAACCCAGTGGTGATATAACTCAGGTATGACTGAAATTAAAAGTTAAAACATTGATTGCATAAGTGATGAGATAATATGTAATAATCAGTGACTAGGGATGAAACTAGCTATGAAATTTGTATAACCGGTTATTAAAAACTAGTTAATTTTAAGTTAAACTAACTAGTTAAATTTCTCGTTAAGAATTCTGGAGCTAAAATTAAACTTACATATATAGCTATAATTAATATACAGTTTATTTATTATCGCTATATAAGTTGGCTTAAAAAGAATATTAGATTTTTCATTTAAAAATCGAAGATTTAATTCAAAGTACTTAACTAGACCAAGACAGTTAGAAATACTTCTAAGCTAATAAGATACTAACTTGCATTAAAGTCAGGTGCCAATATAATATTATTATTAAGAAATTAGTGTTAGGCAGTTATAATTTTTATAAAATAAATTACAAATAATGGTAAATTAAAATTGCACTTTCCAAATTAGCAGTATATAAAAACTAAATTTAGCCAAAGCCGCTATACAAAAAGCAATTAGATAATTGTTTATTTGCTATTTTCTATTATTTATTATTATGTTTAATTATCTTTAATTATCTTTAATATGTTTAATTAAACCTGCTGCATACCAAGTTTTAAGGCAAAGAGCCACAGAAGCCTATTTTGGATCTATTCGATTCTTAGTTGAGCTAATAGTAAATTTTGCTGTACTAAATATTTGTTCACTTGCAACACTCGTTGCCTGAACTACTAAGTAATCACGTGCCATACAAGCAAGTGAAGCCCAGCGAGGATCTAAGGATTTAGCTTTCCAATATATAAGAATATCAACTTCTTCGATAGGTAGGTTTAGATATTCTTTAAGGGGATTATCATCATTTACAAGCATATCATATGATCTTTTCCGAAAGTAATCTCGTGAAGATCCAGATTTAGGAGGTGCTTCTACAGGTTTATTATATTTACCTGCATAATACATTTTATAAGTATTATAAATCGTTTGTTGTGCTTTATTTATATCTTCATGCTCAAATGGCATTAGCATATTATTCGGATCAAGAATTGCTGCTTCATAAAAGGTTGTTTTGAGCCCATCCCAATATTTATCCAATTTTTGTTTCATTCATTGTGCAACTAGTTTTAATGTGTTATTTTTACTTTGAACTTCATCTATTGTATTTATAATAACAGAAAATACCATTCAAAGATCTCCAAGTGTTGGATAGCTTGATGATGAAAGAAGATTTGTAGCATGATAAATTGGTTTAAGTAATTCATTAAGCACCTAAATAAAATTAGTAAAATTATTATTATTATTATTATTGTTATTATTATTGTTATTATTATTATTATTATTATTAAACTTAAACTTACATCAAGCTCTTCCCAATCGTTATAATTTGGATATAGATTTTTTAATTGAGGGTTTGATACAACTAGAATATCTGTAATATCTCGAATCCTGCATAATTTTTCTATCATTATGAAGGTAGAGTTCCACCGAGTATTAATATCAGTTTCTGGTACTAAAATAGGATGTTTTTTCATAATAAAAATTTTTTTTAACTCTTCAAATAAAATTTGAGATGAGCCTATAATATTCATAAAATCTCGAACTTTTCCAACTGAAATTTCTGCTTCTTTAAGACCATCTGTTGCTATTAAGTTGAGAATATATGCAGCACATCTAACACGGCAAAATAATGTATTTCCATGGTTATTTAATAATAATTGTGCAAGTTTATTTCCAAATGTATTCATATTTGCTGCATTGTCTGTAGTTACTGATATAATTTTATTGCCAAAACCAAAATAATTAATAGTTGCATAGGCAGTATTAGAAGCATAGCCCTGAATGTCTTTCATGAATAGGCACTAAATCTAAAAGAATACGATACATTTTCCATTTGCTATCAATCCAGTGAAGAGTAATAGACATATAAGCCTGATTTGTACATGCTGTCCATACATCTGTGGTAAGTGCTATTTTATTATTATAATTATTGAAATATGCTTTAATTATTTCACATTGTTTTTTATATGTCCATTGTATTTTAGCAGAAACTGTTTGCCGGCATGGTAATTTATACCAAGAATTAAGCTCTGCTATAAGATTAATAAAATCTTCATCCTCAACAATTGAAAATGGCTACTGGTCGAGATAATCCATCGTATAAGCAAAGCATTAATAATTGCAATTTTGCTTTCATCTATTGCATTATTTAGTTCAAGTTCTTTAACAGGAAATGTACTTTGTTCAATTTCTTTCCATTCATCTTTATGATAATTCATAAAATGACCTTTAATTGTACTAACACCTGTATTAGAGCTATATGGATTTCCACATAAATTACAAACAACATTATTATAATCTTTACTCCATGAAAAGTAACCCCAAATCGGATGGCATCGTCTGTTTTTGATTATTTGCCTTTCATATTCATCATCTTCAATATCAGTAGGTGCTTCATTAAGCATATTTTCTCTTTTATCCCCACTAGTTATTTCGCTAGAAATTTCACTATTCATATTTTCCTTATCATTTTCATTATTTTCATTTTCGTTATTCATAACTATCAGATCATAAACATTCATTTTGGAATATCAATAGAAAGGTCAATAGTTTTTTAAAAAAATCTAGTTATTTAATTATGTTTATTTATTAATTGATTCAAAAATTACACATAAATTACATAAAATTTATATTATCCAATGTTTTTTTAGCAATTATATTAAAATTTTAAAACTATGTATTAAAGATTTTCTGTTATATTAAGCTTACATACCAATTACATAATATTTTATTATCTGATGTATTTTTAGTGATTATATTAAAACTTTAAAACTATGTATTAAAGATTTTACTGATATATAAAGTTTACATACCAATTACATAATATTTTATTATCTGAAATTTTTTTAGCGATTAGATTAAAAATTTAAAACCATGTATTAAAGATTTGGCCGATGTATGAAGCTTACATGCCAATTACATAATATTTTATATTATCTGATATTTTTTAGCGGTTATATTAAAAATTTAAAACTATGTATTAAAGATTTACCGATATATGAAGCTTACATACCAATTACTTAATATTTTATCTGATATTTTTTTAGCAATAATATAAAAATTTAAAACAATGTATTAAAGATTTGTCTGATGTATAAAACTTACATACTAATTACATAATATTTTATATTATCTGATGTTTTTTAGCGATTATATTAAAAATTTAAAACTATGTATTAAATATTTGAACCAATTACATAATATTTTAAATTAGCCGATATTTTTTAGTGATTATATAAAAAATTTAAAACAGTATATTAAAGATTTGACTAATATATGAAACTTACATACTAATTACGCAATATTTTATTATCCGATGCTTTTTAGCGATTATATAAAAGATTTAAACCTATGTATTAAAGATTTTACCGATATCTGAAGCTTACATACCAATTACACAATATGATATTTTATTATCTGAGGTTTTTTAGTGATTATATACAGTATTAAAATTTGATCGATATATTAAGCTTACATACCAATTACATAATATTTCATATATATTTATTCTATTAATAAATATTCCAATTAATTGCATAAATCTCACGTAAAACTGTAAAAATGATAATTACTATGATTTGAAAATGAAACTATAATAAATATCTTGTGCTACACATAATTATAATAATTAGTTCTCAAAAGTAAATTTTGCTTTTGATATCTAACTTCAAGTATTATATTGTTAACATAAAGCAATTTTAAATAGTAATTATTTTTGTAAGTTTAACCGGTTAAATAAAAAAAGTCAAACTAGTTATTATAACCAGTTACTTATATAAAAAATGAACTAGTTATTATAGTTTATAACGTGTTAACAAACTTGATAAACTAGCTAGTTAAACTGGTTTTGACTTTGACGATAACCGTTTAAGCCCCGAACTGGGTTAATATGGTTAAATCCTAACTACTTAACATCCCTATCGGTGACGCTGAATAGCGATTAGTAATAATATATAAGGTATCGATCCCGAAAGGGGAGTACCTAGCTTTTTGAGCTTCTAAGCTTTTCATATTTGAGCTTTGTGAATAATAACTTTCGAACTTAGTGAATAAACCATTACTTGTGTGAGCATAATATAATCGGTGGAAGGACCTGTACGATACACGGTCATCAAAGAAATTAGCCAAGCGAGTGAAGGCATATAGTAAAGACCCACCAGTACACGGTAGTTCCAGAATACTCCGTGACACTTATTATATCTGAAATCGGACGCCAAATCATTAATTCTGAAACCCCCTATTATCTAAGTAAATTATTTTCTAGAAACAAGCTTTTACAAAGTTTGTCTTTTCAACAAGTTTGTTTTTCAGAAAAAAATATCAAATGCACATCGTGTAGTAGCTTTAGATGAAGATTTTGTTTAAACCCATTTATAGTTAATTAATTCAAAATTATTATATTGTTTATTTAGACTTACCCTTTTTATACAGTAGAATTAGTTCGTAGCTATTGTTGCAGTTCTTTGTTTCTGAGCTGATGGTAATAATGTATTTAATAATGATACTTCTTCACTGGTAACGTTAACTACGGGAGCTTTCAACTCACATCAAAATTTTTCAATTTTAGCTTCACTTTAGGTTAAAGAAGGTTCAATGAGTGAAAGCATCATGGATGCATTATTAAAAAAGTCATACAATTTCAATAACGATGGATCGGATTTTTTTAATGGGTCAATAACGATGTACTGAATTGCCGTAACTTTTGCTGTAACATAATAAAGTTACAGCAAAAATGCCATAACTTATAATTATTACATATTACAGAGGTAGTTACGACACGGCAAGTTACGGCAAAAGTTATGGGCATAATTAGGACGATTCGCCTGCATCACTAATACTGATTTTATTGTGGGTCAATAACAGTGTCTTTGCGTTAAGAGTAGATTAAAAGCCAATTTTCAAAAAAAAAAGTGAATAGGCATTTTTTAGCCTATTTAATATTTAGGTTTACAATATAATTCTCCAGCATTAAATTTAAATACAAAGCTAAAATACGTTCTTATGAAACTTTTTTTTTGTTAAATATTTTAATAGATTAGTAATATTCAATAATCATTTTTAAGTTCAAAATTTATATAATTATAAAGTTAATAGAGGATTTCAAAGAATGTTTTAAATAGAGATTTTAAAAAAAAAGATAAAATTGATTTTAAAGATTATTCCCAAGAAACAAATTACCAAATCACAAATAATATAATATAAATAAAATTTATAAATTGAGAAGGAAATATTTATCTCTATAATAAATAGGGCTAAATATTGTAAATTTTTGATAACCAGAAAAATTCCTATAGTTGTCCTTCCTAAGCACGTGTTACATAAACATATTTATATAGGTTAATTTAAATCTAAATTTGAGTAATTTGTCGAGATTTCTACTTCACTCATCGATTTACTAATACAATCTGTAAATTTTTTCGTATCGTATAATTTGCTA